CAACCCATCAACCTCAACAATAAACCAAGTACATTGCGGTGGCCTGTTCCATGTTAAAGCTTGCATAAAAATGCTGCAATATTAACCTTCATCTGCTTCCTGTTCACTAGGGAGCAGGTAGATTATAGAACAGACTAAGGCTTTAATCCTTTTATTGCCCTTCATCTGGGTTTGTACACTTTCAAATATTTTGAAAACATATAAAACCCCTCCAGTTTTAGACTAATTTGGGATTTTTCTCTGCATATAGACATAATGTTGGCATCTAAATGCTCAGCCTACCCATTACACTCTGAATACAGCCATTTTCAATTTAAAAACCCATCTCTAATTCTATTGGACTTTTTAAAACAAGCATGTTTAATTAAATTAGTGTGTGTGTGTATGTGTGTGCATGCATGCACGCATGTGCACTTCTGCATCCACAGCTATGTGTGTGTGTGAAAGGAAATTTCTACTGGACAGAATCAAGCTGCTGACTCATGTATCATAGGCCCTAGACTGCTAACATCCAAGCCTCTCCTTTCTCTCAAGCAGCCTGCACTCTTGAAAGAAGATGCAAATTCTCTCTCCACCAATGCAATGAGATTCTAAGGGCCCACACTACATAGCATGGTCATGAACTTGATGTCTCAAACAACCACTGTGAAATTACCTGCCCTGTTGCAAGGCACACTGCACATTAACACTTCACTCCGCTATCAAGCAGTGGACGATGGATATGTATAAAAAAGTAGTTGCTGGGAACTATATATAACTTACCTTCTCAACTACCTTTGGAGAGATTTACTATTTGGTTGCAGAATACAAATTTAACCAGAACCCAAGGCTTAACAAAGGGACCAGTCTCTGAAATCTTAACTGACACACACAGCAGCTGCACTGTACTTTGCCAGTCAGTTTTTCTCTATTTTAATGAATGTTTTACATTATCTTTTCTTGCCATCCAATTGTCCCAGATCCTGTTACAGAACACAAGGCCCGCTTTTCACGACCTATATCACTTTGTACTGACATAATGCTCTTATAACTTTGGAAATGCCAAGCCACGCATATGCGCCTCTCTAACTCCCTGACAACTAAGCCCTCTTGGAGTTAGCAACTTTACTGTGTTTCATTCCACAAAGGAAATTCTATTCTCAAGGCAAGGCATCAACTTTGGCCACCCCTACTGCAGATAACAATCCAGGACTTTCATCACATTTTTGACCCATTCTTGGCTTTCAGAAATAACAACAGCTGCTGAAAGCTATACAATTTTAGTTGTGCTTCTCTACCTTCCTCCAGCAATCACGCTTGTGAGAGGCCAGGAGATTAAATAGCCTGAGGGTAAGTCAGTCCCCAACAGCTGTTGCCTCCAGCATTCTCCATTATCAGTGACTTCACTCAAAACATATACATGATCTTTCAGCATGTTCGCAAGTGGAGAGAAAAAGACTAGGGAGCTGCCTCCCATGCCCATCACAAAATGTACATGGAAGATTAAATAGTTTCTTGAAATTCCCAATTGTTTCATGAAGATCCTTTTTATTTAAAAAAATCTCTACTTCAAGGTAGAATCAAAGAGAATGAAGATGAGTTATGATTTGTCAAACCAAATAATAGAATTGTATAATCATAGAAAATTAGGGTTGGCAGGGACCTCAGGAGATCATCTAGTCCAACCCCCTTCTCAAAGCAGGACTATCCCCAACTAAATCATCCCAGCCAGGGCTTTGTCTAGCCAGAATGGTTTGTTCATGAACCCTAAGGGTACTCAATCCTGATTTATAAGAAAGGGATATAAACTGACTGAACAAATGTATTATCAGAATTAGAAGGAAGTTTCTCAATATCAAAGGAATGATGTTCTGGAACAAGCTTCCTATCTGAATAGCAGGAGTAAAAAAAAACTAATGGCTTGTTAGATGAAGCTTCATAAGTTGCCTACAGTAGTAGGAAGCTGGACTTAATGACTTGGAGCTCTCTTCCTATGTCCCATATTCCTACGAGAAGTAGCTTTTAACCTCCTGTTCATTCTTTCATTTTGAAGATGAACTCATCAGAAAAAAAATAATGGAGGGTGAGAGGTGAGCAGCCAACAGTGAGGACCACCCACAAGTGACTGGTGGTGACCAGTGTAAGAGGTGAGCAGCCAACAGTGGTGATAGAACAGGTTAGGGACTACTTTGAAAAGCTGGACATGTACCAGTCCATGGGGCCGGATGGGATGCACCCAAGGGTGGTGAGGGAGTTGGCTGATGTGATTGCAGAGACTCTGGCCATCATCCTTGAAAACTCATGGCTATCAGGAGAGGTCCTGGGTGATTGGAAAAGGAAAAACTTAGTGTCCATATCTAAGAAAGGGAAAAGGAGGATCCAGGGAACTACAGCCTCACCTCAGTCCCTGGAAAAATCTTGGAGCAGATCCTCAAAGAATCCATTTCTAAGCACTTGGAGGAAAAGGGGATTAGGAACAGTCAGTGTGGATTCACCAGGGGCAAGTCATGCCTGACCAACCCGATTGCCTTCTATAATGATCTGACTGGCTCTGTGGACATGGGGAGACCAGTGGATGTGCTGTATCTTGATTTTAGCAGGGCTTTTGATATGGTCTCCCACAACATTCTTGCAGGCAAACTAAGGAAGTACAGGTGGGATGAATGGACTATAGGTGGATAGAAAAATGGCTAGATAATTGGGCTCACACGGTAATAATCAATGGCTTGCTGTCTAGATGGCAGCTGGCATAGGCGATGCACGGGGGGACATGTGCTCCCCCTGAGATTGGCCCTCGCTGGCCAGGAAGTGGGGAGTGCCAGCCAGTGCTCCCCTGAGAAGTGCCAGTGGCACTTCCAGTTTTGCTGCTGGTGGTTCTGGGGTCGATGATCAGCCTCTGGGGGTACTCTGCCCCGCTGGTCAATAATCGGCCACTGGTGCCCCACCCAGAGGCAGGAGGCAGCAGTCACCTATGGCAGCCGGTATCAAGTGGAGTGCCCCAGGGGTCAGTCCTGTGGTTGGTTTTGTTCAATGTCTTTATCAAGAACCTGGGAGATGGCATGGAGTGCACCCTCAGCAGGTTTGCAGATGACACCAAGCTGTGGGGAGTAGTAGATATGCTGGAGGGTAGGGCTCGGATTCAGAGTGACCTCAAGAAATTGGTATATTGAGTTGCATTGGTAGGAGTGTTGTCAGCAGGTCATGGAAAGTGATTATTCCCCTCTATTCAGTGCTGGTGAGGCCACATCTGGAGTATTGTGTTCAGTTTTGGGTCCCCCACTACAGAAAGGATGTGGGCAAACTGGAGAAAGTCCAGCAGAAGGCAACACAAATGGTTCAGGGGCTGGGGCACATGACTTATAAGCAGAGGCTGAGGGAACTGAGTTTATTTAGTCTGGAGAAGAGAAGTCAGAGAGGATTTAATAGCAGCCTTCAACTACCTGAAGGGTCATTCCAAAGAGGATGGAGCTGGACTGTTCTCAGTGGGGGCAGGGGACAGAACAAGGAGCAACAGTCTCAAATTGCAGCAAGGGAAGTTTAGGTTAGATATTAGGAAGAATTTTGTCCCTAGGAGGGTAGTAAAACACTGGAACAGGTTACCTAAAGAGGTGATGGAAGATCCATCCTTGGAGGTTTCTAAGACCTGGCTAGACAAAGCTTTGCCTGGATGGTCTAGTTGGGGATGGTCCTGTTTTGCTAAGGGGGTTGGACAAAATGATCTCCTGAGGTCCCTGCCAACCCTAATTTTCTATGATTCTATTATTCTATCCCCATTTCATAGTTAGGAAGGGTAAGGCAGAAACTTGAATGCAACTATATAGCAGGTATATGACATTAGACTTGATATACCAGAAATACAGGAAGATGTTTGATAGAGAGAACATTTTTGTGTCATGTGAACCTAAGACCCTAATTCAGCAAAACACACACACGTCTAGGTGCTGGGTTCAGTGAGGGTCCATCCTTGGCAAACTCATCTCTAGTCATATGACAAAGTCAAGTGTTTTAATATTTTTGTCCTTGGGCTGCATAGTTTCGAAAAGAAAAAAGATTGCAGGAGCCACTCGGGAAGACCTGTTTATCAACTTATGTAGAAATATATTTATATAAAACTTCATCTGTGTGGACTGGAAGTCTCAAAGGCTTTAAAAAAGGCAAAGAAAAAGTTTTTGTGAAACAAGGTTTCCATCATTTAAACAAGCTCTCTCAACTACAGCAGCAGGCAGTGCACTTCACCAGGTCTTCCATGAATGTCAAGGTGACAATGCCTTTCTCCCAATTAATCCCACAATTTACAATTGACTGTACTCCTGCTAAAATAACCCCAGGCCAGCAGGCCAGATTCTTTCTAGTAATTAGCCTTTAACCTCTCTGTCTTTGTTTTTTCAATTGCCTCCAAATCTATGTCAAATGGCTGTAGTGGGCTTCTCTTGAAGGCTATCCCAGATGGGCTCTGGCTGACCTTTGAAGCCACATGCATTTGTCAGGAAATAATTTCTAAGAGATTTTAACAGCTATTTAAGAAACCACTTATCAGTTCCATGAACCCTGTGGAAAGACAAAGCAGTGGTTGCCTGTTTCTCTAGGAACAGTTTGATTTCCTTACCCCACTCCCCTGTTTTGTCCTGCTCTTTAAACTGTAGAAAGCCATAAATCCAGCACAATGGGTTCTATTAATTAGTTTTCTTATTAAGAAAAAGATCTATAGCATTCTGGGGTGAAGAGAAATGTAATGCAGTTCTGCCTAGTGGGCCAGTTCTAGACAGGCATTGCCCAGCATGAGAGATGAATGGGCTCATGTGCAGTCAAGATATTTAGCTATATTAGATGGAATTAGTTTGGTTATCTGTATGCTATGGCTTCCACAGTCTAACAGTATGCTGTGATAAACAGGGATGGAGTTGGAGGGTCTGTGTTTTTAGAGCAAGAGGCCGAAAGCTCTATCCCATTTGCAAGGGACTGAAAGTTGGTTGCAAAATGTGAACGTTAAGTCCCACCTTTGAAATCCCACGGAGCCAAAAAGTTCTCTAACACATGCTGTTACACTGGATTGTGTTACCTTTGAGAACACCTGAAGGTGGTCCAGCTAGTGTTGTGTTGGACCACCTGCTTGGGACCCAGTATTGCGAGCTACCTACTTGCTGTTCTAGATTGGTTCTCTAGAGGAGGATGCAGACTCCACCTCCCCGCAATGAATTGGAGAACGTCATAGATGACCATGGTGAGGTAATTCAATCCCAGCCTGTGAAGGGCTTTGGAAAATAGAGCCAAATTTTTGAACTATCGTAGGATGGGGAGCTGGTAACAGGCAAGGGGCACTGGTGCAAGAGTCTTCCAAAGCCACTAAGTGCTTTCCATTAAGTCCTACAGGGACTCAGGGACCTTTTAAATGTAAATAGAGGTACCTACACATCTACTTGCAGTATATGCAGAATTTACCCAACAAAATACTGGATGTTACATAACCCAAAGCAATGGTCTCAAAGACTGCACTAAAAGCAAAGGAGAAAATGAGCTCAAGATGTAGAACTTTTGTGTGAATCTTTTGGGGAGAGAGGTCATCATCCATATCCCTGCACTCTATTCTCCGATTTTTTTTTTCCATTCCTCAAAGATGTAGAGTCAATTCC